GTGTTCAAAGAGAGAAATTTATTCATATCGTGTGTTAAATTGCTATGGTCACTGGTACCTTTCCGGCACGGCAAAGCCAAGTTTTTCTCTAAGAAGAAAAAAACCCATGAAACTAAGACAACAAAATCTGCTAACTGAAGGAATCAAGGTAAGTGAAGACCCTGATGAGAAACTATTTTCTGGTCATGCTGAGAGGATACATTCATATCACCTACAAGATTCAAATGCTGCAGATGGCATTTGCCTCAGAAGCACCTCCTGCTGGTCCTGCATTCCTAGGAGGCTTAAGCCATAGGTTTGCCCCGTATTTCTCTCACAGGTAGGGTGGTGTGAAGCTAAAATGCATGGTCCAGTCATTAATATCAATTCCACATCCTCCTCCTCCTGTGCTTCAATGCACTGAACCAGATGCAGTTCCCTTCCTGGTGTCCCTGAAGAGCAGGACTGGAGCCTGGAGGCGCACATAGCTAGCACTGTGAGATGAACTTCTCCTCACATGTTTGCAGCTAACATAAGGAAAACGAATTCTGGAGAGAGATCTGACCAAACCTGTGGACACTGGCACCAAAATGTTTTGCAGAGATTTGCAATTACTGGAAGAGATACATCTTGCTTAAAATGCTGGTAAATGGGACATGATTTTCTTGCTACAGCAGACCTGGTCAGCAGTTTTACAGTTTTCCATTCCACTTACTCTGCACACAGGAGCAAGTCAGTCTGACTTTGAAACAATCTCTCTTTATGGCATCGTTTAAACAAAATTAAAAAGAAAAAAAAAAAAAGAAGAAAAAGAGAAAAAAAGTATAATACACTGAATGATGTAAAGCAGAAATATGAAGAATTTATTTTCAATATCTACACTCCCTATCTCCTTAAATACTTCAGGAAGACCAGGATTTTATACTTTTCTCCAGAATGCTCAGCCTTTTACCATCAATAGCAGCTATATCTCATGTCCTGGAGATTAGTATGATAAATACTCACAGCAGCCTTCCAATATCTGAAGGGGGTATACAAAGACGCTGGAGAGGGACTCTTCATTAGGGACTGCAGTGGTACAACAAGAGGTAATGGGTTCAAACTTAAACAGGGGAAGTTCGGACTGGATATAAGGAAGAAGTTCTTTACTGTGAGGATGGTGAGGTGCTGGAATGGGTTGTTCAGAAAAGCAGTGAATACTCCATTCCCAGTGTTCAAGGCCAGGCTGGACAGAGCCTTGGGTGACATAGGTTAGTGTGAGGTGTCCCTGCCCATGGCAGAGGGGCTGGAACTAGATGATCTTAAGGTCCTTTGCAACACAAACCATTCTGTGATTCTATGATGTACTAGTTTTCTGTATCAGAAATGCCCAAGATCCTCTTAATAGGAAAAAACTGACTAAAGCATTAATCAGTTTCTTAATGTTTCTAAGTTGCTAGAGGAAAGGTTCTTGCATGGTTTAAGTAACTGGCCAGACAGGAATATTGAAGAAAAAATGCCAATACACACATCCGTTTTATTGATACGCAAATATCCCTACACATGACAAGCCTCGCATATTTGGAAGAAAAACCCCCAAAGCTTGAAGAGCTCAGCTTCATGACAATTGAGACAAGTCTTCAAAGCCACTTCCATAACACCTCCTCTACCAGCCACTGGTGGGGCAAGAAGGCCATCCCCCTCCCCCCCCCCCCCCCCCCCCAGTTTCAGAAAAATACATACATTCCTACTTTCCTCTAGTGTTTTTATTCCTTGCATTGAAGATACTGAACTGTCAAAGGCTGCTATGCCACAGTTATAGAACATGTTTGTCATTTTGCCACAGTTTGCCACTCTTTATGCACAAGTAAGAGGAAGATCATTTTCCTGGTAAAACAGCAATTTCTCTTTTTGGATTGGCAATCAACAACAAAAGCCTGCAGCTTTGTGGCGATCTCTGAAACAGTAAAAAGCAGCTTTTTTTTTCATCATGCCTTGACATTTTCCTGTTCACAGATGTGAAACCAGTGTTTTCTATTTATATTAAAAGCAAACATATTAAAGTACTGTTCAGTAAAAGCAATAAAACACAAAAGTCATGTACAATGCTAGCAAATAAAAGATATTTACATTGTAATTTCACATTCTGACATCTCTTGTAACAAAAAAATAATAACAAACTTGCATTAAGACCTTCTGTCAGGGAAGAATGCCAATTTTTGTCTTTATCATTTGCACTTCAATTCTTGCCTACCTCTTCTTTTCAGATCTGTTGCTCAAGCATTCAACACTTTACGTGTTTCCTCCATTATCTATCTGCTCAACCAAGATTATATACATCAACTGGGAGATGATAAATGGAGCGTGAAGACAGGTCACATTACCATGAAAATCCCCTCCTACAGGTAGTAAGCAAAGGAGAAAATCTCACAGAGATGGCAAACTTTAATTTACTCTGCATGTCCCATTCTGCCTAACAGGATGACTCACGTGTATCTCTGATCCATGAGCTACAGCATAGGTGAATTTAGGAGGAGGACATACAAATCCAAGCAGGTGCACTTTCTGGTTTTAACAAGTTTCCTCATCTTTCCCAGGTCACACGCTTCTTTTTCCACCAAGAAGCCAGCAACACTTTGCAATCTATTTGCTTAAGGTAATGTAAGAAATGGGTGTATCAAACTAAAAACCTGATGGGAATACAACCACAAAGGACACGGTGTCTTTTGCTTTGCATCTCTAAGGATGCAACTGAACTCTTCTCTCCCATAAAAGCATTTGAAATCCCTGGGCAAAATCCAATGTCTTAGTCATGCTGAGAGGCAGCAGCCAACAGCCTGAGTGTATTGGATGGTCAGTTGCTGGCTACAGAATTCAAATGCAGCTAAAATTGATGCTACCATCTGAGCCATGAGGGGGAGAAGGAGAGGGAAAAGGAGAGGGAGAGGGAAAAGGAGAGGGAGAGAGAGGGGGGGTGGGTGGGGAAGGAGAGCAGCAAAGAGATTTTTCTCCACAGCCACTCCCTGCAGAAGACAAACCTATAGAAAAGTAAGACTTTGTTAGATCTGTTTCTCATGGAACAAATATTTTTACTGAGGGAGGCCAAAGACGGTTTGGTAGTAGGCAATGCAACTGTATGCAGACTGCTGTTAAGACTTTGTGGACGCAGGGAAATAAGCGTATCATGAGGCCAAATGGAAAAATACACAGCCCTGCAGCTGCTCTGTAAGTAACTCCTGGTACAGATGAACATTGAATCTGGCTTGAAAGACCCCATCACACATGCTTACTTCCTATTACGTGGCTCCAGGTGTTTAAGTATCAGTTACAGTGTGACCCCGAGTGAATACAGAGGAAGAGGTGTACTGCCTGGGATGGTGAACTGGTTCAGTCCAACTTCCTGTTTCCTCCACAAGGGAACACCAAGGGAAGAAGGAATACAAGGGAAATATATGAGATACCTCTTCTGCAACACTCCCACAGCCTCCAACTGCTCTTAGCTCTGGGGATTTCCTGAGAGAAACACCCTGTACCCAGTGTGCCATTTGGAAAGGCACTGTTCACATCCACTCCCATGTGACTGCTTGAAGAACCATCACCTCTTGTTCTCCCACTACCACAAATCTGATGGTTTGTACTCAAAAAAGCCAGTTGCTGCCTTCCCTCTCCAAGTTACGTAGGCATATCCTTCCTCAGCAATTTCTTTTGAGTGAGAACTCTGAGCCTACTTAATTGTTCCTTTCAAGGGACACAAAGCCAGATAGCCGAGCATCCTTGTTATCCTGTTCCAGTGTTTCCTTTCTAAGAAGCAGGAAGCACAACCAGGCACAGCTCTAATGGTGCGAACTCACCACAGATCTGTAGAATGCCATAAATATGTTCCCTGTTTTGTTCTCTGTCCCCTTCCTTAAAACGTGCCTTGCTTTTCCAAACACCAAGCTAGTGTTTCTGCGGGCCACAGAGAGTCCCCCTCCTGAGAGGCAAGGAGCCATTTCAGATATCGCTATTGTTTCTGTAAAGTTAGGTCTAGGTTTCCGCACATACGTCATCTTGCATTTATCTACCCTGTATTTAATCTATGCTTTTACTGCCGAGTCACCCACATTCTTTAAAGATGACCCTCACCCCTGCTAACTTGAGAAAGTTTTGTGTAGTCAGCAAACATTCTTGTCTTGCTGCTCGCCATTTTCTCCAAGGGAGGGATGAGTTGCCAAGTACTGCTAAGCTGCCTCCCTGCACTCAACTACTCACACTGATGCTCTTCTCTGTGGCTATGAAATAATGCATGTCTCCACTTGCCAATTAATGAAAGCTACTTTTTAATTCATGGCTACCAGCAGCCAAGTAATATCGAGTATTACTTGGCATGCAGCACCTGAAAAACTACCGAAAACACAGGTAACATTATGATTATTAAATCATGTACACCCGCTGAGCGATGTGTGTTTAGTATTAAATATGGGTATTATTCCATGAGCAGAGTAGTGCATGTGAGATAGTCTGTTACCCCTCGCTAATGCATAATTATTATTTTATTACCTTCTCATGACCATGAAAATTAGAAGCACTGTATTTGATTCATTCTGGTTGAAGCAGAGATGGGGAGAATATTCTGCTGTGATTGCTCAGTCATAATGACCCTGAGAAAAAGCCAGGAAAAAAAAAAAAAAAAAGGCCCTTCAGCATAAATTTCTAAAACGGTTTCACTCAATAAAGTGCTAGTGCACTGCACAGATAGCTGCTGCCCAGTGCCAGTTCTGTTTGAGTGCCTTGCCTCTGAATCTGCTTTTGTTTATGTCTTCTGATTGCCTTCTAATTCTCATTTTCAGTTTGTTTGCTTAATTAATAACGACCTTCTGCACTTAAATCCCTCACAAGAGTGTCCCAAACTTGACTTCAATTTAACACAGTTTCAGTTTTTGGTTTGTGAATGAACTGTTTGTTAACCCCCAAGCACCACTCAAAAGTTCATTATTCCCGAAATTTCCACTCATAGAGAGCCAGGGAGAAAAGACTGACACCCGAATAAAATCAGGAATCCACAGATAAGTTGTGTTTACTTTTCAAGCAGAAACTTTCCAAGCCACGTAGTAAACATTTTGCTTAAAACTATTTCTATTTTACTTACTTCTAACGCATTTATTAATTTCTCTGTAACTCTACCGTCGGTAAGTCCAAAGGAGAGCGTAATGAGGCTGCAGAAATGTATGCTCATGCTGCTCCATTTCGTAAGCTGCTTCCGGTAGGCCAGGATTACAATTTGAATTTTCATCTATTAAACACCTCGTGCTGCAGACCCTTCTCTGTGACCGTGAAAGGTGTCCGGACACGTTCATTGTGGCGACTTTCCAACTTTGCACAAACACTGAAAAGCTATCTTGCTGGAAGCAGGCAGTTTAGTATGACTCGGCTATTAATTTTTAAGGAGGAGGTTCTGTGATCTGTGACGAGACCAGTATTGTAATTGACAGGAGGAACTACCAACTGCTCATGCAGATATTTGAACCACTTAAGATGTCTTCATCCGCGTTTAAATATATATACATATGTACGTATATTTAAAAAATTCCCAGAAGTGGGGTGTCTTTTTTGCAGCGTTCACAGCACACTCTGCCGGCTGCTGCCTAAAGTTAGTACCAGCCTGCAAAGGAAATCAAAATGTGTTTTTCGGCATAGCAGAAGCCCGGCTTATGCCGGGTAGTCGCTGCGAGCAGGGAGGACCGGGACCGAGAAGCACTAGGGATGTTTTCTGAGGGCAGCGGGGACGGATTGGTAGGAAATCTCGTTTCGTGAAAGAGAAAGGCCTTATTTTTGGGGGGGTGGGGAGGGCAGGACTACAGGGACACGATTCCTTTCAGCGCTGTAAGGTCACACCACTTCGGCATGGTGGCCGGAGCCAACATCTGCCCCAGCGCCGCCGTCCCTGTTTCTTCAAGGACGGGGCAGGCGCTGCCTAACGGACGAGGGAGGGTCACTGGCTGTTGGGCATTAAGCTGGCTTTATATGAAAGTGGCTTAGAGCCACATTTGCATGACAAAGCCATTTACGTGTATCTCATCAATAAGGAAGGCTACAGGCTGCATTTCTTCTCTCCGGTCTCTCGCATCACGCGCAACCATTAAAGGTAGCGGCGGGAATGTCGGTAAGCGAGTCCGCCGGTGCCATGCTGGGCGCAGCGCGGGTCACCCGGTCTCCCGAGCAGCCGCCGAACCAGCTCAGTGCCTTTTTTTGTTTTCGGGGCTGAAAAACGTGCTCGGGAGCTGCTCGGGCAGGCCCGGCAAGGCGCTGCCGCGGCCGCGCCCGGGGGAACCGGGGCCGCGCTGTCTGCGGGCAAAGGAACGGGGAATGGCGCGCGCGTGGAAAACCGGGGCATCCCGGCCGGCGCGGAGCCGGGACGCGGCGCGCTGCGGGGCCGCTGCGGAGGGCGCGGGGAGGCGGACAAAGGGGGGATCTGGCGGGTGACGCTGCTCAGGAATTCCTGCCGCCGCGCCGGGCGGGGGGAAGGGAGGAACGGGCGGTGCGGTGTCTGCTTTTTTTCTCTCCACAGGGTTGCCCAAGCCCGCAGCGGGGGGTGCTGCAGAAAGCGCTCGAAGCGGCACACGCGGCCCAGCGCGGAAATCGCAGGGTCATGGCTCCCCTCCCCCTCCCCACCCCGATACCCGCACTGGGACCCAAAACCGGGTCCGCCGCTGCGGCGGTCCCCGCTCCTCGTCCCCTTCCCTCGGACGCCCCGTCCGTTTGCCCGGACATCCCCCCCCACCCCCAGCCCCTCGTGGCCTTACGCCACGCAGCCCCCCCCCCCCCCCGCCAGGCTCCGCGCACCCCTTCCCCCCCCTCCTTTGCAACCCCCCCCCCACCCGCCGCGGATCCCGGCACGCCCCGCGCGGCGGAGGGGCGGGGTCCGCCGTGGCGGTGCGGGGAGGCGAGGCGGAGGCTGCGCGCATGCGTGAGGGCCTCGCCCCTCTCGCCCCCTCCCCCGCCTCGCGCTGTGCGCCGGCGCAGTGCGGCGCGACTCGTGCGAGGGGAAGGGCGAGTCGCGGCTGTCGGAGCAAGGGGGGCATCCGCGGCGCTCCGCGCCTCCTCCGCCGCCATGGCGGGCGCGGCACCGGCACCAGCATCCGCACCCGTCGCGGCGGCTGAGAAAGTGGAGACCTCGGCGGCATCGGTCGAGCGACCGTCACTTTCGACGGCAGCGCTGGCGAAGATGGAACGGAACCGGCAACGAGCGCTGGCACTGCGGCAGGCGCGGCTGGCGGCTCGGCCCTATCCTGCCGCAGGTCGGACGGCGCTGGACTGTCCCGGTTTCCCCGGGCAGCTCCCCGCGCCCTTCTCTCTTTCCTTGGGCGAAGGGGGGGGGGCTGGGGCGCGCTTAGTGCCGGTGGGAGAGGAAACGGGGGGGGGGGGGGAAGGGGAGCGCGGGAGGTGTGGGGGTGAATGGGGGTAAACCGAGAGGCGCGAGGGCCCCCTCCCTTCCCCCACGTTGCTGGGTGGGGGGGAGGGGGGAAAAAGGAGGTCCATCGCATGCGCGCGCCGGGCCCCCGGCTTTGCGCGCGTGGTGTGGGGGAAGAAGCGGGGTGCGCAGGCGCGCCCTCTGCCGGCGGCGGCTCCAGCCGCGGCACTTAACGCGGCGTCTCGTTTGTCTTCCGCAGGCGGCCAGCGGGTGAGGGCCCCCGCCAAGGTCGTCGATACGGGAGGGGGCTTCTTCCTGGAGGAGGAGGAGGAGGAGGAGGAGCTGGAGGAAGGGCCCGGCGGCGGCGCCGGGAAAATCGTGCATCCCCCCGGTAAAAAAAGCCAGAGACCCTCGGGGGAGGGAGCGGAGCAGGAAAGAGGCGGCGCCGAGTGCGCGGGGCTGGCGCGGGAGGGCAGGAAGGAGCGGGGGCAGCAGCGAGCGGCGGCATGGGCGGGAGGGAGCGGGAGAGAGGGCGCCTTTCTCTTTTTCCCGGGCTTTTTCCACCCCTTTCTTCTCCCCCTCTTTTTTTCTCTTTTTTTTTTTTTCTTTAGCTTTTTCTCCCCCCATCCTTCCCTATTTTTCGTTCCCCTTTTCTGGATGTGCTGAATTCCTGGCGCGTCCGAATTCTTTCAGCATTAAGCACGCGGTAATTAAAAATGGAGAATTTTAAGCCGCGGAAGTGGGACACAGCCAGTGCCCTTGGGTATATATAGCACGTTTCTTTTTTTTTTTTTTTTTTTTCTTCGATAAGCCTTATTTCTACGATTTCTTTCGGGAATTGGAATTTTGAGAGCAAAGTAAGTGTGAATCCGCGGGATTTCGTTGGTTTTGGGGAATTTAGAGGTTGATGGCGTTTATGCTGAGATGAGAGCACTGCTGCAGTGCCAGCTTTTAGCGTTATAAAACGTACTCCGACGCCAAATTGTTGATCGGTTGGTGGGGGATTTCAACACATTGTCCAGTGATATTCTCCCTCCAGAGAGCAAATGGAGAAGTAAGGATCCCAAAATAGACCCAGTTTCTTCTCTGGGATTGCCTTTGTCTTGCTTTGTTCTGCTCTGAATCGGCTGCGGGGCTATTGGTGCAGTATCTCTTTGTTAGAAATCGCCACCAGATTCATTAAGCTTGTAAATTATGAGCAGTTTTACTTCTTTTGAGGTATAAATGTTTAACAATAAATTAAGTGGATCTGGGATGCCTTTGCACGGGGGGAGGTGTTTTTTGCTGTGTAATTCTTGATGTCATTGTCTTAATAAAATGCCTCTACGGTCGGGAGTACTGCCTGAAATGATGAAATGTGATGTAAGAGCATGACTATGTGAAGTACCGAGCATCCCCCCCTGTCGCTTGCGGGGCTGAATTGACATAAAATGTCGCGTTTTTAGACCGAATCTGCTATAAATGCAACCGTAATTAAAAATGTATGGTGCTGCATATCAAGCATTAATCTTACTTTTCAGGTATTGTTAAAATTCTGCAGCATTGCCTCACTTCTAGCGCGTGAAATTGTATAAAAATGTTAGAATTTTTGTTAGAATTACAATGTTACTGCTAGAGGAGCGATTCTCATAGCTGCGGTGTTTCTCGGTGTCCCACGGAACGTAAAGCGGATGGCGATGACGCTGGAGGTGATCTGCCCGGCGAGGATGCGTCCAGCAGCGGTAGCTGGCAGTGAAATGAGTCTGGGCTTGGAGCAGTGCTGAGAGGGCTTGGGGAGAGGATTGTAGTGGAGCTCCATCCCCATTCCACTCCTAGCAGCTCTCTGGCCATCCTCCTCCGTTTCTGCCACCCGGAACAGACAAGAAAGAGCTTTTGCAACTATCCCATGGCCTCCATTGAGCTCTCTGAGGGGAGAGGCAGGTGTGGCTGAGCTAGGAAAAAAACTGGAGCAGACTGAGAGGACTATGATACCAGTGCTGCTCCAGCGCCACTTCCTGCTCATGCCACCCTCTTCAGACTGCATCCCCTTCTCTGCTTCCTCCTGTTACTGCCTGCACGTCCTCTCAAAATCGGGGCGTATTTTGGAGGGCCAGAATGGAGGAAGCTGTAGGAGGGGATACGAAGCACTTCATGAGGAAACGGGGAGGGTTTTGTTGTTTTTTTTTTCTTTTATATTTTTTAACAATGGATAACTTGAAACAAATGTGTGCATTTAAATGTTGAAATCGAATACTTTGTACAGTTAACCTTCCAGCAAGAACAAAAATAACACCGGTAGAGACAGAATTAAATGATAATGGGTTTTAATTTGTACTTGTATCTGTTGGGGAAAACTTCAGTAGAGGAGTGAAACTAGTCTGTAACAAATACCTCTATAATGTAAATTCTAGTAAAGTTGTCTGTAATACCAATTCCAGATGTTTGGCTTTTAATGTTGCAGTTCCCTAAAAACAAAAAAAATTTCTTTTTCCATTAGCACCTGTACTAGAATTTGACTATCTTATCTGTGGAGACTGTGGCAAAGAATTCATGGATTCGTACCTTATGCAGCACTTTGATTGGGCAACATGTGATAATTGCAGGTATTGCAAATAATCAGAAGAAAACTTTATGTAAAGATTGCTAGCTATGATAGAGTTAATTACAAATGTGCTGATTAATCAAGCTGTCGGCAGAGAGACGTTTATCAGTAATTTTAAATCCTTAAAAAGTAAACGGGGGTTGTGGGTGGGATTACCTGTATTTCCCCTTATGGGAGTGAAGGACAGCGCACTGTCTGTGAGCCTGTGTCGGGGTTAAGGAACATCGGTGGGTTTTTTGCGTTACCGTGGTGGAAAGATGGTGTCTTAAGAGGGCGATAAAGCGTGCTTGTCGGCATGGAAATGTGTTCGGTGTGGCAGACCACGGCTATGCAAAATGCTGATAGAACGCAGAGTAACCGCTTTCTGAAGCAGTGCGGGGATTAAGAGAGTATTTGCAGTCTTCGGGAATTAACCTGAATAAAGTTAGTACTTTGATCAGCACAAGAGAGCCGGGAGCAGGGGGCCAAAGGGCAGAATCCCCGTGCGATGTTAGCGGGTTGAGCTGCACGGTAAGCAGGAGTTCGACCTTGGGCAGAAGACACTTATCTCAAACAGAAAATGCTCCAAAAGCCGCAGAGATAAGCGGGTAGTGAAACGGACTCTGAAGCAGCAGCCAACCAGCCATTAGTGTCAGAATGAATGGGGGAGGAAAAAAAACACACAAAAAAACCAAAGATAGCAGCTGGGAGTTTGTTCTGAGAGCTTCCCTGCTTACTACAGGGAGCGGCCAGGGTGTGCACATGGTGTGGGCAGCTCAGTCATTAGAGGCAAAGTGCTGTCTCCACGATAAAGTGGGTGGATGGAGCTTGTCAAGCAGAGGGTTCCGAGGCTGAGGAGTGGTTTTCTGTCGGAGCTATTGCAGCTGAGCACTAGCGATTCGTTGCTGCATTAGCTTTTACGGTGCACTTCGAATTCTAGTAAAGCAGCATTGGCAGCAGCGCTTCCTTGATGGCCGTTGCTAGCAATTACTGTTTGGCAGATTGTTCCGGCTCGAGCAATTCAAGTTACACTTCAGTCAGGATTGCGTAAATGTAGGTTGTTTTTTTTTATTAACTCATAAATGTTGCTGTGGCTGCAGAGTTTTTCACTGACTGGTAAAATCTAAAGTCTTTATTGCATGGCTCCTCTGCCTATTTGCATTTGGAAGCGAGTGTACTGCCTGTGTTGCTAATCTGATTCTGGGATCTAGAAGCATATGGGGTGTGTATATTCTCAGGTGATCTGACCTGTCTTGCATTATGTATTCTTTCTCTTTTGACCCTGTGTCAGGCTTATGCTTTTTTCCTCTTGAGTTGCATCTGGGTTAGGCGAATACCTAAAATTATTCATGCTTTTTAAATTTCAGCTACTCCCTCTTGTAAGAATGTATAAGAAAAGCACTTCTAGAAAAACAGGCTTCTCGGCCTATGTATGCTCAAATGGGAGAGCTTAATTTCTGTAAACCCAGCCTGGAGTTTAGCTGTAGATTGTCGGAATCTGAAGTTATTTGCATACATTAAAAAACTGAGTGGATGAGGGCAGCCTGTATTTCAGGAATGTTAGAAATGGTGGGGATTTAGATGTTAATAACAGGGCTTTCAGGTGCAGCTTTTTGCCTTCCAGAGACACTGAAGATAAGCACAGGCTTATAACAAGGACAGAAGCAAAAGAAGAGTATCTTCTTAAAGACTGTGATTTGGATAAGAGGGAACCAGTGCTCAGATTCATTGTGAAGAAAAACCCTCATAATTCACGATGGGGTGACATGAAACTTTATTTAAAACCACAGGTACAGAAACTTAGTGTATTTCAGAACTCTTTTTACCTTCTTACAACTTTGTTAGCCAAAATATTGTCGCTTTGGTTCTGATTTCTGAATGACTTTGTCAAAATTAAGTATATTCTGGGTAGCTGGGGTAAATTTTCTGTATAGGTAAAGAGCTGTGGTCCAAATTCATGGAATTGTCTATGATTTGGGAGCATTATAAAGATGTTCATGGCCCACAACTCGGTGGTGTGCACAGCTGCAGGTCATGAAGCACATGGCCTTTCAGTGGCTGAAATGGTGTGGGGCAGCTGCTGCTGTGTGCAGTCCTTTGTAGCTGTGGCCTCGTGTTTGCAGCTCTCCCCTCAGAGGCAGCAGGAAAGGCAAGTAGGTTTTCCAGGGCTCTTGTCTTGTTTGCTACTTTTGTAGGTGTGCTTCTGCTTTAGTGGAATATGTGCAAAATTAGAGCTGGGTTTGAATTGTTTCATTTACTAATACTAAAAATCAGTGTTGCCTCTTACTGTGGAAGGAATGCAGGTTTGCAGTGAAAAGTGAGAGATGGGAGGCTGAGGCAAGATAGGGTTGGCTGGTGTAGGGGAAAAGAATTACATTTGTGAGTTAGAATAGTTTACTTTTATAATTTCAGGGCAAAAAGAAACATTTTTGTCCATCCTGTAGGTAATCAAGCGTTCCCTTGAAGTCTGGGGTAGTGAAGAATCATTGCAAGAAGCAAAGGAACTGCGCCGTGGCAACAGAGAGAAGATGAAACAGAAGAAGTTTGATAAGAAAGTTAAAGGTAAAGAGAGAAACTTACATATTGCAGTACCTGAAGTACAGTTCTGCTTAAATTTGTTTCTGCATCTGATGAAAGTATTCAGAATACTTTGTGTGGCAAAATGGAGGCTTTCAGGAGCTGTGTGGGTAAGCCCAGAGCAGTCTGGTCTGACCTCATAGCTGACTATTTTGGGCAGAGGGTTGGACCTCTGGTAGGGAGCTGAGGTCCTTTCCAACCTGAATTACCCTCTTGTCCTGTGGGCATGGTGTGAGAGAAATCAACTACAGTGGTTCATTATGATGCTTTAAATGTTTTTTTCTTATGACCCAGAATGTGCCATAGATGGTTATGTTTTCTGACTTGGGGAGACTGGATTTTTGTGGCGGTGGGTTATAATTCTGTCATGCATGTGCTTTCAGGTGGAGTAAATGTAAATGAACATAGAAAATGCCTTTTCCCACTGTTCACAGCATCCCCAGCTGCTGGTTTTACTTCTCATTATCCTTGTTTTTTCCTGAAAAATTAGTATTTAAGAGAGTGGAACTTCTTAAAAGTACTTGGAGCACAGACATGCTGAAATCTTAAGAAGACCACGTGCTCCTTCATAAGAGCTGTGGCTTACCATGGTGTCTGTGCCGCCCATCTGTGCTTCTCTCTTCGTCGGCAGTCTCAGGGAGAGCTCAGGCTGGCTGTACTGGTATTGTCTGGCAGGGGCCCAGCGTGAGGCTGAGCAAATAACCCGGCTGTGCTGTGCTCTGCGGGGCTGGCTGTGGTGCATGGGGGGACCAGGCCTCGGTGTAGCCAAGATGCCGGATCAGAGTACAAGCACAGGCCTAAACATGACGGGGTGTGCAGCCCGAGCAGCTTGGCTCCGACGTGGCGGCGTTGTGCTGCTCCGTGTGCTTGCAACATCCGGAGAAGCATCCCGGGCTCGGCAGGCCCTGCTCGCCTGGAACCCGCCGGCTTCGCTGCGGCTGCTGCGGTGCAGCTCACAGCACTGGGCCTGGAGCTGAGTGCCAGCTCATCCAGGAGGCTTGCTGTGACCAGAATGAGAAGTGCTCTGCCCTGCCCGGGTAAAACAAATGAGGTGTTCTTGCGAAAACTCTGCGTTGCACTGACCCCTCTTGGATACCTTGGAATGGCTCTGTGTAAAAAGGCAGAGGGCAACGCGTATGTATTTCGTGTGGAAAATCTTCCCCTGTGAGACAGCGTTGTCAGGCTAGTTCTCCTCCTTTAAAAGATGCAAACAAGGCAAAGGTTGCCAGGCAAGTCAGAGCTTGTTCCTGCAGTAGCAGATTCTCACCAAAATGTATGGAAAACAGGCAACACGCAGATTGGCATCTCTAGTCCTGTTTAGCTTGAGTGTTACTAACTGTTGCTTAAGATTTACCAAATCCTTAAAATTTCTTGTATTTCCCAACAGAACTCCGCCGTGCAGTGAGGAGTAGTCTGTGGAAGAAAAAAGCCAGCATCCACGAACATGAGTATGGACCAGAAGAAAACATTGACGAATCTACCTATAAAAAGACATGTACTGCATGTGGCCATGAATTAACTTACGAGAAGATGTAGTGATAATCATTCCCCCCCACCAATTATCTTTTTAATTGTATTTTGTATCGAAGTCAAATAAATGCTGATCATGAACAAGCTTTTTGCCGAATTCTCTGAGGAATGGGGTTCATTGGTTGTAAGAAGCTCAGTACAGAAACAATGCGCGTTGGGTTTTACGCTCGATCTGGCTGGTCCGGTTTGCTGTTACTGGGGGAGGGGGCCTCTGGCTGATACAGCAACTTCCCTGCTGGTGGGAGACCTAGGCTGGGAGATTCGGCTCCATTAAAGGCGAGCGTTCCCAAGAGGAACGGCGCCTGCTCTGGGGAGGTTCTGACACGTCTCGGCGTGATTCATAAGGGAGAGTTGTTAGCAGTATCCTCTACGGCGTTTTACCCCCCTAAGTTTCGGGCAGAGACCAAGGCTGCTTTCACACGGCAGCTCTGTCCGAAATTTGCAACTGAAAAGGGTAAAATGCCTTTCCTCGGGGCAGAAGGGAAGTGGCATTCCAAGGTAGATCTCTTAAGTGCACCCAACTGTTTGCTTTCAATGGAGGGTGGATTTGCTTTCAGGTGCAAATTTCGGATCTTCACAGCTGTTGTGGAATGCTGATGGAAATGACTGAAGTGAGGGGACACGCTCTGCGTTTGTTTGCCATTATGCACATTGCAAAAACCTGCGAAGTCTCCGGAGGCTCTGGGGAGCCCGGGCCCCCGCGGCTGTGAATTGAAACGCTAAAGGCAGAGGTGCCGGAGCCGGGGGTGGGCAGGTGGCGATGGTCCCTGAACGAGCCTTCACTGCCGTCTCCGGGCAGGCAGCGCCCGGTGACCGGCCTCCCCCCACCACTGGGACCGGGGCACCTCGGGAGAAGGCCGGTGCCGGCGCTGCGCTGGGCCCCGTACTTCGTCTGCAGGGCCGGTGTGTGCTGGGTGCTGACTCACGGCCGGCGGGCAGCACCGGCTCCCGGCCCTGCCCTGCCCAGCCCAGCCCAGCCCGGCCCGGCCCGGCCGCCCTGCAGCCGGGAGGCGGTAGACAGAGGAGGGTTTCCCCGCCAGCCCCCGCGGCACTGGCAGCGCCATGCTTGCCTCACCCGGCCCGCGGGAGGACAAGGGAGGCTGCTGGTGGTGCCAGGAGAAGCGCTGGCGCTGTATTAGTCACGGGACCAGCCACGGCCCTGCGGAAACGAAACTGCTCCACCCCGGCCGCATGAACCCCAAACCAGAACCCACCCCCGCCCCCCATCATCGTTGTGTCAGAGCCCCCAGAAGCAGCAGGACAAACACTGCAGTAACAACCTGGTTCACCTTCATTTATTTTTAATTGTGCATTTCTTCCCCCAACCGCACCACATTTCTACAGCATCTTTACACTACCCGCCACCCCCCCATGCTTCGGCAGTTGCAGGGTTATCCAGTCAGCTGCTGGTACTGCTTTGTGAGCGTCCCCAGTGTGCCGGTCATGTCAGGTGTACAGCCCTGGACCCACAGAGAGGGGAAGGTGGCAGGAAATGTCATCACAGCCCATGAACGCCATGTAAATCAAATCGATTCTGAAAGACAGCGCTAGGTGGTTTTAAATTGTAGGATTATGCGCTCAGGCATGTGCAACTGGATCTCAAGCACCCGTATTTGTCAAGGCTCAGAGGAAGTTACAGGTTCGCAAGTTTTAACTAACTGCATTATCAGTTTTATGGAAGTCACATTTATAATCAGACCCCCACCATTAGCTAGTATCAGCTAGGATCAGAACTCTGACACTGGTCCAAGCCAGTGAAAAAACTATCAAAACCCAATTAAAATCTCTACAGTATTAAATGTTTCTTTAAAAAAGACCCAAACAGCTATTTGATTATTCAAGAACAGTAACAAAAAAATATCTGAAGTATTAGTCTGTGCATGGCTGGCAAAACCCTTGCATAAAGCAAATTTACAACAAGTAACAGTATACCCTGAAGTAATGGAAGGAAGAACCGAACCAGAAAAGGTAAAGCAGAGAAAGAAGTAACAAATCTAAGTCTATGAAGATATATGAGAATGCTATTGGCCACTTACAAACGTAGGTAAAAATAGGAAGCTCCGTTTCTAACCCCCTTGGTTGATCAGGAGATCAGTTGATCCTGAAGTATTGCTGAAATACCTTAATAGGTACAGTGCTTAGAAAGCAAATAAATCATACAGGAACAGACTTGCTCAAAGCTCGTCTCTTTCTAAGCTTAAACTGAACAGCAATGGCTATGCCACCCTTTAAATATTCACCTGAAAAATCAAGAGGCTAAGAGCAGCCTGGAAATGCCCTGTATGCTAGCAAACTGGAGCACCTAAGGCAGTGCCTTACCATCTGTCACTGCTTACCCTAATAGACACCACGCTGGCTTGCTGTTCATGTACGTAATGTTATCTGTGTAACTCAAAACTGAGGCTACTCTATTCCCGGGTTGTTTTGCCTCCACTGTGAGATATCACCTAATTCAGTGCTAAAATGTTTTCTGAAGACATGGGAACTGTGTGTTATCGCATGTCTAAACCAAGGGCATGGCAGCAGATGCAGATACTGCAAAGTTGCGGTTACTGAGCTAGATAAAGGGAGAGCACTTCGTTCATCCAGCACCATTACTGGGAAGATTTCTGGCATCCCTGCAGTCCAGCCTAGTGCAAGTGTGGCAGCCCAAGAGGCTGAAATACAGGAAGAAGCTGAAGCAGGTCCTGCCAGAAGCTGCCCTGGCACCAGGTGCTGCAGCTCCCAACACCCAGGTAGGGGCTGAAGCATGGAAGTCCCTGGTCTGTTCTACTCCAGCCCTGGTTTGATGTCTCTGTGCACCAGTAAAGACTCCTGACAGGAGCAATTTATGACTCTTTGACCACACTGTGAGGAGGGCTGAGTTTTTCAGATGCTGCCCATGAAGTTCCTCTACCACTTCTTTGTAGCTGCTGTAACAAGAGACTGCATAAAATTTAAAAACACATATTCCAACTGTATTAAAACCATGTTCTTTCAAACTGAAAATCTAGCTGGCTTGGTAACAAATCCAAATGCTCTATACTACTTTGAAAGCTTAAACTCAAGTGTTTCACATCCCCAAAGTTAAGACACTTTTTCTATGCCACACTAGAGAAGTTACCACACTTCACCGAGAAGGTGCATCCCTTTCATACTCACAAACCAGTATCAACTGTTTCTCATTTCTGTAATTCCTATGATTTAAGGGCCAGGCTAACAAATTCTATTGTTCGAGGGCTTTTATATTGGGGTGGGGTTTTTTTGGCTTTTCTTTTTCTCCTGATTTTTATACAAATAAAAAACAAGAAACGAAAATACTATCATAAAGTTAAAAGTCAAACCAACTTAAAAGATGAAGAAAATAGTTCTTACTTCACATCTATCCCCTATCAGCCATCTCTTATAAGGCTTATGATGCTTACACAGTTTGCTGTTGGTTAGAGTATTGTATTGTTTTATATTGGAGCACACGAAAGCCAGTTTTAGTCAAAAATTTTTCTATCCCCATATCAAGTTTTATAACGTAAAAAAAACAAACATTAAATTCACTAAAGTCCTGCAGGCAAGACTTTGCCCGTGAATAATCCTCAAGCCTGCAGAGCACAGAACTGCTGAAACACGGCCAGTATATGGTGGTCCAGTTCAGCTGTAAACAGGAGGTTCTCTAGGGTAACCATGTATTGCTGGATGATCTGGTGATGCTGGCAAATAAAACAAACAAAACACATTTCATTTGTATTTGTGTAAGAACAAGCAGAGAGGTCAAGACATGTAAGAATCACAAGTCAAACGTTTTCATTGAAGTTGCTAAGCGTATCTCATTTCCACAACACAATAGCCACTGACAAGGCAAAGTGTGATGCTGAGCCACACTGACTGCAAGAAGAAAGCAAGTGCAGAAGTCCTGTTTGAAGAGCTCCCTGTAGCTCCTTACTCCTGGATCCTGAATTGTGAGCAGGATCCCATGCAACTGCAGAGATTCCTAAGAGAATCACAATACTTGCTCTCCTCTGGAGACAGGCCTACTACCCATGAAGGGTTCAGCTCAGAGGGGGACTACACTACCAGTCCCATTCCTCTACAGTTCTGCTGTTCATACAGGTGTAATTTTACATTCCTGTCACTTTCATGCAGCCACCTCTGCTTGTTACCGGATTTAATACGGAGCCAAGAATTCAAAAATGACGTTTAACAGCTATTTATGCATCTTATTAGAAGGAATTCTGCAATACTTTAATCCACTTATTTTAAAGGCAACTATTTTGCTATCCTAGTTTGCTCTCCATTTTGCCCATAATATGAACACACAGTTAAGAGGAGCTCGGCAAAATGCCTAATCACAGCTCGGTATCTTTTTGCAGCGTGCTCACAGTGTGGGAACTGAGCAAGAACCAGTTTCTCCACCAATCTGTGTCAGAGACGTGGCCAGAGGCAGAGTCACGTCCTTGCTCCACACCAGCCCCCACAGCAGCGTGCTACTGCCATCTGCTGCTGCTTCCGGGCGCCGCGCACTGCTCCAGGCACGGCGCTTCTCATAGGCATCCCCCTGCCTGCAGCCCTCCATACACCTACCTGTAGGAAGATCTGCTGCAACCTCTCTATACAACTCTTGTACCAAGGTGTGAATACATCAATTCCACCAGTCTCGCAGCGCACCAAGTGCTCAGTTAACAGCATAATGAAACGCTGCAGCAGAGGAAAAAGAAAAGAAGAAAAACAAACCTTAAGTTCTGTAAAATGAAGGACCCTAAACTCAGCTAAGAGGATCCGAGGAACAGCAGCTTTGACAGCAATGTGAGAATGATTATCTTTATTTTCTTTGGATAACACTGAGTTTAGTAAACAGCTGCAATCCAGTTAACCTTCTGACTGTTCTGGAAACTGTATGCTAGCAGAACTTACCTGGTCCTGAGCACTTGAAACTGAGCAGGTCCTGCTCAGAAGCAGTCTTTGCAAGGGGATGATCTGGACTGATTCTAACCCATAGTAAACCCTTCAACCTTTTCCCATGTTTTTACTCCAAGAAGATGCCCAAGATTCCAGTGACACTGAAAGCTTATAAATCCCGTCACATTAAAGCTTGAGAGGGAGAACATGAGTGC